AGACTTAACATCGGTTTATGTATGATTATGTGGATTATGTGGACTTGAATTAAGTTTATCTGTTTGTTCATTGTATGTTCTGCCTATGTATTTTTAATTTCAAAAAGTCACAACACGCAGTTCTCGAGATAAAGTCTTCACATGTTTTGGTTGAGCGACAAAAAACCCTATGCTGCTCTTCATATAAAACCTTCTTCTGAAAAAGTATAATTTATATATATAAATAATTTTCAAAATTTGATGCTTATGCTTAGCATTTAGAAGAAATAGATTTTATGAAAATTCAAATTACTGGCTGATAGTATTAGTTTGGAATTTTTCACTAATCAAAATTGTATCTTCTGTAAGTACTTTTGATAAGCATTTCCGTTTGATTGTTGCATTTAACATAACAGAATTGGTTTACCTTCATCCATTGGCACAGTGGGTATAAAATAAAATTTAATTTGCTCTTGAGCTTATAGAAATGATATAAAAAGCAATTCATAAAAACAAAGTGAGCATACAAGGACAAACTTACGAATATTGCTTGTTTATCATTTTTTTAGAAAAGACAATGTGACATATGTACTTAAATTGATGTTCGTTTGCATACATATATAGGGTACGATAGTATATGTGTGTAAGTGTATAAAATATAACCATGACATCTTGCTTTATATGTACATATATAAATGTTTAGACATATGAAATTAAATAAATATCATAATAAAGCATAAAAAAATACATGTAAATGTATATGGAAATGGAGAAACATAGACACACGCGCACGCACGTCAATATATAAAATTATGCTATTGTTACATGCTAACGCATTTATTTAAATAAAACATAGTTAGAGATGAAATACAATTTATTGCGATTATTTCTCAGACCAATCATCTCTCCCGCCTTCATTTCTCTTCCAATTCACCTTTTGTTCCTAACTGTGGAAATCACGCAGATAGGCGTACATTTCTGTACAAGGTTATATAGTAGGTCATGTATGAGTAACGTGACACAATAACGATGACAATAATGATGTTCATCATTCATCATCATTATCATCGTTATCGTCATCATCGTTATTATTTGGTTTTATGATGAATGGTTATTAAGCCCTTTTTGGTTTTATACACTCTTCAAGTTAAATAGGCGAGAAGACAAAAAAAAAAAAAGAAAAAAAAAGAAAAAGAAAAGAAAAGCACATAAAAAACAAACATATATGCATATATCAAATTGATGAGTTGCTTTCTTTTCATTTCTGTATATATCCATACGAGATATGTATGTTATGTGCCTCGTACTTGTTACTGTTCTTTTTTTCGTTTTCTTTTTCTTTTTTTTTTCTCTTTATTTCTCTTTCGATGGTTCAAGTAATCAAATGTACGCCTTTGGCATTAAATTATACACTAACCGTATGTCGTCTACGGAGGAAAACAGTGCTTTCGAGGAGCGTCTGAAATATATTTATAGAATCATATTTTACTTTCCTAAGCTGTTTCACTGTTTTGCCTGAAAACTTAAACGGGATTTATTTATTTATTTACTCTTCTTTTTCGGTTTCTTGCTTTTCATTTCGATGGAAAATGAAATAATGTTTCAGTTTTCATTTACTCTCTCTTTTTCATTATTAGCTGTCTTTAGTTTCATTTTTTTCTCTCATTTTCCCTTTAGTCAAATCTTTCCTTCTTTCACAGATAATAAAGAAGATTTTATTATCACACGTTTACTTTCATGTCGGAAAAGTTTTTTTTCGTTTTTTTTATTTTGTTTGTTAGTTAGTTGTCTTTCGCAGAAAAATGCTTCCTAAGAATGCCTTATTTGCTATATTCGTGCATAGAGATTATCATCTTGAAATTTTCATTTCATTTCCCTTGTGCAGTTGTAGATAGGAAATGATTCCCTTGTGATTCGTTTGCTTTTTTTGTGAACATTGAAATAGTATAGCATTGAAACAGAAGTTGTTGTTGTTGTTAATTATAAAAGTGGCTGCAAGAGTTTTTCAAGAAAAAATGGAATCAGTTGTCAGCAAGATTTGATTTGCATATTCCTTCCTTATCATCCAATAGTAGGAATTAAGTTTTTACCTACGTCACGAAAAGATTTTTGTATATTTTTGCAAAGGTGTTAAAGCAAGGCTATGAAGCAAACGCATGCCATTCAATGGCGGTGGGCTTATTTACATCTATATGATGTCCATTGACTTCGGGTTTGACGAATTTTCATTTGTTGAATTACTTCTGGCAGTAGTCATCATAACAAAAAAGGCTAACAGCCTGCACATCTATTTCTTGGTGACGTCTTTAGGTTAAAGCGCGTGAAAGTGAGGCTAATCAGTTGGCAAATATTTTAAGAATGCTATAGTCAACGACAAGGTCAACCATTAGATACCCTACACCACTTCGTTTAATAAATAATACACCAAAAATTAAGCATCATTTTTATGTAAATGCATAATTTCCACGAAAGCCCTCGCATTGAAAGATGCTCAAACGTCAACGTGGTCTAAACTTAATAAATTTAAATTACTTGCTAAAGATTTTATTATATTCTAGTTACTTTCGTCATAGCAAGTCACATGATCGACATTGAGACCATTGAAGAGTTTGTTTTCATGAGAGCCTCTACATATACGGTGCGGTCTATATAATAGACCTATGTGGCCCAAATTCGCTAAGGTTAATTTTTATGTCAAATGATTCATCAAGAAAGAAGTATTGAAAATTAGGCGGTTTTACCATATATGAAAATTATGTTTATATTTTATATAACGACCTATCAAAATAAGTCATTATACGAGGAGGGGTTGAAAAGTGCTCTAATTCTAACCTTTCGTCCTTGAACTAAAAACCGTCAATCAAATTTCATCGAAAATGGCGCCCAGTAGGTTGAACATGATAATACATGGACAGATGGACGGACTGATAGACAAGGTTGAAATAAAATTTTATACGATCGATATACTAAAACGTATCCTTCTAAGTCCACAATCATCCACTTCTGTGAAATGCAAAAATGATTATAATCAGTCCAGTGAAGCTAAAGTAAATAATTGTTTGAACTGATAGGTATCAAAAATATATATATATATATATAAAAAATTAATCCTTTTACTTATATTTTATATTTATACAATTATAAAATTTGACCGCTTTGAAGAATTAATAAAAAATTTTATTTGAACGTGGGATTGGTTCGTTGGCTCAATTCGAAATTCTTTCGATTGAGTTGAAGCACATGTTTGTACGTTATATTGTGATGCGTAAATAAACGTTTTTCAATGGGAGCTAGAAAAAATTTTCCAAACATATTGAAGAAAATGTAATATTCTTATAAAAAATTGTTGTGATATAATTCTATTAAGCGGGAAAGGTAAAAAGAAAATAAAACTACTGAAGAATTGAATCTGTTGGATCTGTTGAGTTTGTTGAACATTTCTGATTGATTCCAATTGTGTTATGTTGCTTCGATTGTCGCTCGTAGGTGAAGTGTATTTTACTCTCCGATATAAAGCGAAGATAGTATTATTATCTAGCGACAACGTTTTTGAAGGGAACTTTTTAAATAAAATACTGATATTATTAGAAAGTTGTTCGCAACAATTTGCATTTTTCGTATATTTATATATGTGATGCAATATCACATCGATTGAGTTTAGTCGCATATTATTCACACCTCACTGCGCTACACACATTACAGGATTTTCTTTCAGGTTTCTTATAACATCTATTCGATCACCTTTCCATTGGCTAGAAACCTTTTATTTATTAACGACCTGCTTCTATGAGATTATCATGTAAAGTTGTAAAGTGTAAAAGACTTTGCTATTATCCTTAACTAACACACTTAAAGCATGAATTCATTACCGGAGCCTTCATTTGTTTGTATATAGCGATGGATATGGGATTTTTTTTCTTTCCGATAAAGTAATTATCAATTTTTTTAGAGGTGGAGAGGGGAAAGTGTAATTCGAACACAGAATCAGTGATCTATTGAAACTATTGGACAAAGAGTGGAGAGTAGCATTGTCGGATGATAACATTCCAAGTTAGAACTAGAAATATTTCAAAATGGGAATTTTCTATATGAGGCCGAATTGGTGGATACTAAATACTCACGATATCAGGACTCATTTTTTGAAGCAACTGCATCAACTATCGTAGGTAGTAGTTTTTTATTTATTGTTTTACTCGGTTGCAACAAACCGAAGTAAATTATCAAAAAAAATGTGGCGATCATGGATATTCATTCAACTTTATTCCCAATATTAATGGTTCGCATACTCTGTTAAGTATTGTGAGGCATACAATTTTCAACACTCGTAAGCAGCTCGCTTAGCAATACTTTGCTTCGATTTAAGAGAAACAAGTTAAGTTTTCCGCAAATTCCGGTTATTTTGTTAGAGAATCGCAACCATTCAAAGCTCTGTGCTATGTTATGCACGCTTTAATGTGGTAACTTAGCCAATGCATTCAAATGAAGAAGTCATAGCTTTATTTAGCATCCCACATTACCACCTACCCCCTCTGTCCCGTAAAAAACGAAGCGAAATACCCTCTACTTCCAATACATGGACGTGTGCATTTAATTAAAGCTTTCTCCATAATTTTAGGAGTAATATTTTCTAAACTGTTAAATAATTGATAAAAATCTCGTAGATAACAAACTTTCTTTTATTTAAAAAGTAAAAAAAAAAAAAAAAAATAAATAAAAAAATAAATAAATAAACAAAAATACTCTTGAAAAACACCTTACGCAACGGGAAACAATAAAACATATCTTGAGACATTTTTTTAACCGTACAAAAGAAAAAAAAAAAAGAAAATAAATAAATAAAATGCAACCCAACAAATCCAAAAATTCTTAACATTTATAAAACCCAATTCTTATGACAATGGAAACATAATAAAAAAAAAAAAAAAAAAAAAAAAACAAAACCAAAAAAACGTTTTATAAAACAATTATATATTTTTATACGGCAACCCGAAAACAAAAAAAAAAAAAAAAACAAAAAAAAGAAGAAAACGAATTTAAAGGAAGCGCAAGAAAACCACAAATTTGAAAAAGGAAAATAAGTTTTTGTTTTTTTTTTTTCAAAAAAACGAACACAAAAGAAAGTAACGGGAAAAATAAATATTTCTATTAAAAAAAGCTCAAAAATTCATTACGAAAATGTCGGTTGATCTGAGTGTACAGCAAGAGCCTACAGTATCTGTTATAACTACAGTGCCGATGGCCGCCAATGGGGGTGAAATGGATGCTTTATTATTAGGTCGCATAGGGGTAAGTATTAAAGCAGGCTTTCATTCTTTCTTGGCTTTTAACTTTAACTTTCACGATTATTACTTTTTGTTTTGTAGTGCAATAATTTTTATTCAAATTACATCTTTTATATTATACTTAATAATTTTACAAAACGCTTACTTCAAAAAAAAAAAATTTTTTTAGCAAAAGTCTTAGAAAAATCTTTTAATAAAATTCTGTATATATATAGAAAATTAATCTTTCAAAGTCTTGCCTAAACAGCATGCTTCAATCAATATGTTCGACACATTAGACAAAAATTAAAATATATGTATATGTATGTACATAACTTCACAGGTACACATATACTCATATATAATATATATGTAGTTATATAGTCTTGACTTACACGATCGATATGCTTTTTGAAAGATATTCAAAATTGAAGGCATTCATACTGAATAGAATATCATGTCCGAACTGAACAGTCAAATGGCACACGGAAACCTCAAGGATTCCTATGAAAATAATGAAAGTATTAATAATAAAACTTTTATTCAAAATGTGGTCTTCTGCATCAATTTTCATTCTTTAAAAAAAAAACACAAATTTTGCATATGATAGCTGCACAGGTAACCTTGCAGCTTGCACCTTGAACGCAGATATAATCTCTTCGCAGCATTGCTGCTACGTGCGAGAAAATTGAATTATTTAAGTGTTTAAACGCAGTGGCCCGAATCCATCGATATAACGCGTCGGTTGCGGCTGCTTCAACACTTCTGTTTCTCCAGCTTGTGATTGCACAAAATCTAAGGCTGAGATAAAAATATTCAACATTTTATAAATGAATATTATCTGGGGTAAATTATCCTCCCCCTCTCTCTCGCTCACTCTGAACTTTTTATCCATTTATTAAATAATCATAAAGATTTATTCGGAAAAATGAAATTTCCAATCACTATATTCTTCGATAAGAGATATGAGGACAGAAGTAAGAAAAAATTAAATTTATTTAAACAAATCGTTTCAAAGACACTTGTTATCAATATATGAGTCATTATTTTCAATGCTCGTGAGTGTCAAGACAAGTGAAGTGGTTTACGTTTACATAGAAAAATCGCACATATGTCGAGCAATGTAAAGCACAAATATCGTGTAAGTCGAGGGATTAGTGCATATTGGATAAGAAAATATCAAAAATGTTAAATTCGCATTACGACGAATCTTGGGCACCCACCACCACCAATATTAAATCCAAAATATTGCTTAGTTTTATAGCGAAAGTGTCCCTAAGTCGTTACACGTGTGCTTAATACTGATAACAAATCGATATATGTAAACAAACGACGATATCTTAGATAGAATGTTTTGTTAAGTTTGTTAGTAAAAAAGTATTGAGCTTGTTAATATTTTAGCCACTTTTTTTTATTTATGGGGCAACCAATGCCGTTTTTCTGTATCTTATCTGGAATCTTGAACGAAGGTACATATAATACGCGTATAAATGAACTGCAGGCTGGGAAACAGTTAGAAAGTGATTTGTGGAAATTTTAATCTTGAAAACTATGAAAATTCGTACACGTCCGTTCCTTCGTTCATTGGAAAATCAACCCAAGAAGTAATCTTTAACATGGACTGGAAACGTCTCTTGATTGCAGCGTATAGATGCAGTCATACATATGTAGCGCATTAGCAGCTCACAAAATCAGAAGATGTATGAAAATGAGTCGAAACCTTGAAGTTGCTAACCGCGATAGTTTTCGCAAGCTACTCGTTAAGAGTCAAAAGGTACATATATCCATTACTAACACGCGATATGTAAAGCAGCGTTCAGTTTCTATAGCTCTCATGAAAGCGATAGTGAACATCTAAACGGAGTGACGGACGTATGCAAGTCAATTTAAATTCTAACTGTTTAGAAATGCACGAACGAGCGGGCTTTAGTCAGTCTCGATTCTTATTGCATAGGTAGAGTAGAAATCGAATCGAAGGCGCATTATTTTTTAGATTACCGAATCTTCACAATTCTGTAAAGCTTATGTTTTGCTTATTACAAAGAAGAAGAAGAAGAAGAGTTAATATCGTATTAGAAGAGTTTAGTTAAAGATGTCGGTGGTGGGTATAATATCGCCTTTACTTGCATGTTTCCTCCGCTCTTACACCGAAAGTCTGGTGCACTTTAATACGTTCTCTATTGATACTTTAGATAAGATTGATTTGATAGATTTATTATTTAGTTTAGAAGCGAAATTCAAACATTTGTCATATGTTGTCTCATCAATTTCTAGTAAAATTCTATGCAAATCTCTTTAAGTACAAATCAATAACGGTTTTATTTTTTTCATACAAAATTTGTAAATTTTTGCTAAGACACATGTTCTGACACTGTTTAAAGCTTAACGTATTCAATAGAAAAGAGAATAAATCTTTACGACATGTAGACACTCTACTCATAATGTTACACAAGAAATGCCATACCAAAGTAATGGAAAATAATTAATAAATAAATAAATATATAAATGAATAAATGTTAGAACTTGAAAGAAACATTCCGAAGCGTTCCTTTTTCTGTACAAGAGATAATTATTATTGAATAATAGAAAAAAGTCTTTTAATTATATTAAAAAATTTTTTTTTTTTTTTTTTTTTTTTTTGGAGGAAATCATTACAATTGAAATTAAGACGGCCTTCGATATAAAGAAGCAGCACATTGTCAAAGAAGAAGAAGACATCAAAAAACAATTACTAACCGATTGCAGTTGTATGGAATTTACTGCAATCATGAAATTTTCATAGCAACTTGTCTTCTTCCTCTCAAGCTAACATATAGTGTATGGTCTAAAGGGAGAACATATATGTATACATCTGTATGTGTGCGCTTGTGCGTGTATTTTTCTTTATGAGCAATATTATTCTCATTCCATTTCATTGATACTTATTGTATGTTGCAAAATACCTTTTTGTCACTTTTCACATGAAAACTTTCGTCTTCTACTTCTTTTCCGTTTGCCTTGGGGTCTTGAGAGACAAATTAAAACTAACAACTTGTTCGACAAGCGTCCAGTAACAATAAACTAAAACCATAAAATATGTTTGTAATTTGTTGAAACCCTCAGAACCGCATCCAACCGCTTCCGCTACATGCACACATACACATATACATACATACCTTAAAAATGTAGCAACTCAATCGAAAACATATTTGTTTTATTGATTCTCTTTAAAGAGAGAATTTTACTTATATAAAATCCGTTATGCTGTGTGTGCCTGTGTATGTTGTCATGTGTACAGTTGTTTTATAAAGATAATCAAAAGTTATGACATCTTGTCGGAAAAGTTAAAAAATTTATTTTCTTTTGATTATAGAGAAATCGTATCAGGTTTTTACGATTATAAGATTTTTTTTTTTTTTTTTTGCTTTGCCTTCGTTAGGAGCACCACTAAAAGCAAATGTTTTTGTGCACGCATGAAAATGTTGCGAACATTTTGATTTTCACGTTATCATCTTCTAGATGAACGATATCAACGCTTTAGTAGTGCACTTCGAAGTGGACCAATTTGCTATTATTCGATACATTCATGGATACTTTTTCAATAGGTATCTGTTAAGCGCTGATTAATTTTCGACAAAACGGGCAACGATAGTGCACTGCTTTTTTTAAACCTTTTCTAACGATTTAAAGAATTGGTCCGGTTGATTATTTGTTATCCATTCATCTGGCGCTTGTTATTGGATTACTTGCTTTTCCCGTAATCGAGATAAAAAAATTTGACATAAAATATTTATTATTTAATGAATGTTAAGTATTGTCGATCTGTTCATGAACATGCTTATAAAAGCAAAGACTGAACAAAAGAAAAAAAAAAATATTTTAATTTTAATTTATAGCTTTTAATTGGATTTTTAAACTTGATATGATATAACTGTATGCAAGGGATAATGTAAAGTTAGCCCACCTTAGCCCAGTCCGTAATGAGTAAGGAGCTATGTGATTTATGTACATATACGTACAGACAGAGTTTTGTACATACACACGCACACATTAAGGAAGACAATCGGACAGTCTGTAGGATCCGTTTAAATATTAATGCTATGCAAAAATCACAGGGACTCGTTAATAGTGGTATGACTTCTATATGCCATTCGCTACAGACGAAATTTCGATTTTATTCATTGTAGGCTCATTAATACAAATGCAATTTGTAACTGTTATTGTCGGAATGTCACGCAATTTTGCTTTACTTTGTCTAAAAATCTTATGGATTCGTTAAAATTCGCGACATTTTAGTATTATCCCACGAACTTATTGAGTGACATGTTGTACATATATATTTATACGGGTGTATATATATATATATATATATGCAGAGCAATTATTGCGAACTAAATACTTCAGGTATTTTACACAACTCTACAAGGACTTTTTGAGGTGATATACAATCGTTGGTCTTTCGGATGGCCGGTCTTAACCTACATTCGCCTAATAAAATTTGCAAAGTTATCAAAATTTTAATAAGAACTTTCTTCTTACGTAATATGATTTCATTTCACTTATTAAATTTGAAAAGTTCATGTAGTTTACTTAAAAATCTTAAAAAGTAGTCAAGGTATGAGTTATGGTTCATACGAGTTTACAGCTTCATATAAATATTTTTCTGTAAATTTCTTACCATGTTTTCATATTGAGTTATCAAGGTTCGCCTTAAACTGAACGTGGCTTCTTTAAACATTTTTTAATTTTTTTTTTTCTTTTTTTTGCGCTTTGAAAAAGAAATACTGCAGAATCTCTCGAGTGTTGAAAAACATTTGTGAAGCAATCTTTGTAATTCGACACTGATATGTAATTCAAATTATTTCACTTTTTTATCTTAAGCTCTACGTGCTGAAATTCAATATACATTTTTTTTTTTTTTTTTTTTTTTTTTGGCTTCATCAGAGTTTCTTTAACTCATGTTTGCCTTCGAAAATGTTCACTTGCTTTTAAGCAAAAGAAGAAAAGTTTTACACTAAACTTTCGCTTCACGTTGAATTTGGATTA